TCAACACACTAAAAGGCACAATCTTGTTTTAGGAGATCATAAAAATTCTGTTGTCATTCCCTTGTTTCCATCAATTAGCTATAAAGTTGCACATATTTTGCAGAAATTTAACTTTCGGGTTGTTTATTCTCCCATCAATAAAATTCCGAGTTCCATACTCAAGGACCCCATTCCGGATATGAATTCCTGGGGTATTTATAGGATTCCTTGCCAGTGTGGTTTAATTTACATTGGCCAAACTAAGAGAGCCGTAAAATTTCGCGTCAAGGAACATGAGGCATATGTTAGAAAAAAGGAAACACAGAAGTCTTCTGTTGCTCAACATTGTTGGTCCTAAAATCACACTTTCAATTTTTCTGCTGCCAAAATTATTCAAAAAACATCTTCCATTGGAGAACTGGATTTTCTAGAGGCATTTCACATTCATAAAAATCTTTCTGTTCTAGTTAACGATCCTAATTCCAATCCAAATTTGCCTTCGGCCTTTAAAGAATTATATTTTAGTTCTGGTTTCACCAACAGATGGCGCCACTTGCTTATTCTTGTCCAGGCTTTCCTATCTTATCTAATCATTATTTCCTATCTTGTTCATTTGCGGTTTTGCAGCTGAGGATGGTGGTTCGGTAAAACCATCGAAACTAGTCCTGTGAAAATTTTGTAAATATAACGCTGAATTTTGTTGTTTGACTTCTGAATTAGTAATTGCTTACTGGTTCTGCTAAAGTATTTATTAGGTGTTTGAAGGGTATAATATCATGGGACGAATTAAAAGAAAATCTTTTATCTGAATTTGGTTCTAAAATAAGCAATGCACAACTTCATAATTTATTACAGAAACGACACTTAAAACCTGGTGAATCACTTTCCGAATATTTAATTGCCATGCGTGAAATAGCCAGTCGCGGTTCTGTTGATGATTCATCAATTCTTGATTATGTAATCAATGGGATACCAGATCAGAGTAGCAACAAAATTGTTTTTTACGGGTGTAAAACTATTTCTGAATTCAAAGAGAAATTAAAAAATTTATGAGAAAATTCGCGTTCCAGATACGAAAGATAAGGGTTATTCAAGTACTAACACACAAAAATAAAACACGCGCTGTACCTAGTAAGATTAAAGAGCCAAGGTTTTATAATTGTGGAAGTTTTGGCCATAAATCGAATTTCTGTAGCAGTAAGAGTAAGGAAAGGATTTAAGTGTTTTAAATGCGATTTGTTTGGAAACAAAGCCCTAGATTGTTCGAAAACATCATCTAAAAATATCCAAGATGCCAAAGCTGTTACTCCAATAACTCAGACTTGTCAGAAAGAAATGCATAAAACTGTTAATTTGGGTAATTTGCAAATTGATGCTTTAATAGATACTGGAATTCAAGTAACGCTAATCCGAGAAGTTATACATAAGAAGATAGGTTCTTCTGAACTTAAGTCGGCAGATCTACAGTTAACGGAATTTGGCAACAAACCTATAGAGAGATTTGAAGGTGAATTCCAAATTGATGGTTTTTCATTTAGATCAAATATTTGTTTTATCGCAGAAAACAAGAAATCTGAGAATGATTCTGAAGAGAGAGAGAAAAAAAAAAAAAAAAAAAAAAAAAAAAAAAAGCTTATTGCAATGGAAATGGTTCTAAAGAAGGATTTGAAAAGTTGTTAATTATGGTTTCTTACTTCCAAAACCAGAAACTGATCCTGTTAGTATAGTTCCTGTTACAGTACAGAATGTGATCAAACTGGATACCTCATCCACAATCAAAGCAAGTGGCAATGATTTCCTGAATTCTGACGACGTCCCGAGTGATGCAGATTCTGATATAAGTGAAAATGTTGCTATTAAAGATGAATTTGAATTAGTGCAAAAAGGAAACTCAAGCACAATACAATTAGCTTCGAAGCCAACGAGGAGAAACGACACTGCAGAAGGAGATTCTGAAGAGAATCATTTTTCCGAAGAAGAGTCAGTTGCTAAAGATGATGAATCAAATGTGAATTCTACTAGAACAATTTCAGTAAATACCTTGCAATAGAGCAGCAAAAGAAGCCACTGGAGACGAAGAAACTACAGAGGCCACCGAAGAAGAAGAGAGGATTGAAAAGCAGAAGTCAGTCAGAAAACCTGATCACAACGACGCTGATACGGAAAGCAAAGACGGAACAAAAGAAATTAAAGAAGGTGAGCAAAAAGAAGCGAAAAAGCAGATTCAGAAGATCCAGGAAGAAAATTGAAAGAAGAAATAATTCCTGATTTAGAAGTTTTTCCCGACTAGACAAATTTCTCCCGATTTGACTAATGGACTATTATTTTAAAGACGTGAACTAATTTAAGAAGACTGAAGATGATGTCTAAGGATAAAATGTATGAAGGAAGACGGCTTAAAGAAGATGATTTTGAGAAGACGCATTCGAATGACGGATCTTGAAGATATCTAAGACGCATTCAGAAGACGTATCCAGACGGTATCTAAGACGACGCATTCAGAAGACGTATCTATGTGATGTTTAAGAAGACGTAAATACGAAGATGAATTGTTCCAGACAACATCAAAGGAAGACGTGTTTTTGCAAAATACATGTATTCAGATAGACTGTTCAAAATGAACGAACACTGAAAGAGCATTTAAGAAGAGCTAACGCCGTTATTTCTGAGGATGTTAAGATGATAAGGGAAGATGGCTGAAACAAACCATTTAGGACGAATTTTCCCTCAGTAGTAAATAAAAATCTTTTTTTTTTTTTTTGTTTGTTTTTTGTTGTTGTTGTTTTAAATTTTATTTTTCAGATCCCTAGATGTAGATGGTGGTGCTACGAGAATGCGAGGCCGCATTCCGTCAGGATGGACGAGCAGTTGTGGGATGGCATCGTTCATTATAATCGGATGACGCGACAAGCTGTGAGAATAAATCTTTTACCTTTTTCGATGATGGAAGTCAGACGATTCCGCCATTAAGACGATGACGCGACTGAAAGATGTTTGCATGTAAAAGACGATTCCTTCTCTTCATCTGTAAATAATCTCATCTATTTCCTTCTACGTATGTAATTACTTTGCAGTTTGTTGCAACTATTCATGTTTCGTTAAATATTCAAGTTTTAAATAAATCGGACTAGTTTATTAGACAGCCACCTAAGAAGTAAGTTTACAGACATCATATTCCTAGACAGTAAGTACCGATTCTACATTAATATGTTAAGTTGTGGAAATACTAAGGAATTATTATTAGTATTTGCAGTATTATCTAATAAGCTTTGAGGATAGATATTTACCACTATATGCCTATATTAATATTTTATAAAGAAGTTCACAGTTATCACAGCATTTTCAACATTCATCATCAGCTAAATATATATTATTATAAATTAGGTATTATACTTTCTTCAGGTGATAAATGTTTTGCAATTCTCAATTCTTTATGTTTCTCTTAAACTATTTTAAAATTTGTTCCCTTATACATTTAAAATAATGTATTATAAATTAATCAGAAACACCCAGATTCGTGAAAAGTATAACTATTTTAGCATTTTAAGATTTTGTGTTAATAAAAAATAATTCAACATTATAATACAAGACTACATTGTTTTAAAATCTCGAATTTGGCTCGTTCTTTATATATGCTTTTAACTTACTCAGTACATCAGATAAAAAAATTAATATCCAACAGAAGATTAGAAGGCAATTCTAAAACTAGCCGCAAAATATTGCAGCAAAGAAATAGTACTTATTTTCAAAGAAAAGTTACAAATATTGCATGATTCTGAAATTAAATAATTTCTTGACATTGTTATGTAGCAATTTAAAATAACTTAACAAACTTCTCGACCTCTAACTGAAGTATCGTTATTTGTCATTTAAAACCTTCAGATTCGTCGAAAGCTATTCTCTTGTTAAATTTGAAGTCACGTTTTTATGGAAGGAAATGAAACCTACCAAGATAAACGTTAATCTTAAATTATCATAATTATGTAATTATCTGTAATGTTCTTCAGAATGACCAATCAGAATCAAATTATGGAAAAGAGCACTTCATCAACTTAAAATGAGAAAACCAAACCAGAAAATTTTCGTGTTCACTATAATTCCTTTACTTTGTACAATAAAGTAAAAATGGCAGTCTGGAATCTACAGGATGGAAGAACAAGAAATGTTATCACTTGAAATTTTGAAAATCCAAGAACTGAAATTTTGGCTACTTGGAGTTAAAAAAAAAACTTAGAAAAATTTCGATCATTACTTCTGTACCTTATTTACCACAAAAGTTTCACCAGCATCCGAACATTCGAACAAATTTTACAGTGTTCAGATCATGGGTAATTCAGATAAAAAGGATGTAAATAAATCATTTTTAATTTGCAACCTATGCGTCATGAATCAGACACACTCATATGATATATGTTTATGCATTTGTCCGGAGGTTTTCAATCATTTAAGAATAATTCTTTTACAAAACCCATTAAAATTTTTCCTGAAGTAAAAATAGTGTTCTAAAATTAGATTGACTACATATAAGTAAAAAATGCGTAATCAAAACATTAGACTGTATATTTTCATTCAAATATATTCTTGTGACTGGTAACCTTTACTTATCAACCGATAATACAGCAAGGAGACAAATTAAAAAAGTATATAAACAGATTAGATTTAAAAAATATAAACAAAATATTTATTTAAAATTTCCATTTCCGTCATCACACACATATAAGAAAAATTATCACTCTCATGAATGAAGTACTGCAGTTATCTTTGATCAGTTAAACTACCATGAAATTATTTCAAAAAATTGTTTTCTATCAATGAATACCTTGACCTGAGAAAGCAGCCCAACGCTTTATGAATTTAAACGACCACTGTGATATTGCATGCTTGTGAATGAGGCTATAAATATCAAAGGATTTATTTCTACACAAATCATATAAAAAATATAAAGTGTCTATTGTTTTCCTTATTATTTTTTCAACAATAAATATGATTTAAAAGATTATATGTATATATTACAGAATAAGTACTTACTGAGAATGACAGCTCCTACAAATAAACTAATCGTGACACTGATGAATGTTGAAAATTTCTGAAAAAAAAGAAAATAAATAAATTTACAATGTGCATATTATCCAAAGCATAACAAAGCATTCATTATGCAAGATAAAACGCATTTTATTAAGTTAAGATTCCGATGAATGAAGCAATTAAATAAAACAATAAAGAAATAAAATATACAATAGAACAATGCAAACAATGAATTAATTTAAAATTCTAACATTGCAAGAAAGTCAAGAATTAACGTGAAAGTTAAAAAATCATTAAAAGAGAAAGAAAAAAATTATACACATAATTTTAGTGTGAATAAAATTAAAGTTTGTTTAAACTTGCTCATAACTGCTAAATTTCTTATACGTTTTGATTTATTTAGAAGAAAATGAAACCTACTATGTCGAAGTAATTAGAACAGATCTGGATTTCTAAGATTATGACAAAGAGAATTACGGTTATCTGCCTAAAGGAAAGGAGGTTTTCGTTGAAAACTTTATTAAGAGAGAATGACTCGAATTCAGGCTGCATATGGAAAATCTCTGTAAACCGCAAAGCAGCCAGCTCTTTCGTTAGGATCCTGACTTGGATCAACAGTTGCCGCCCAAAGTTTTGACTAGACCCTGTAAATGCACAGTAGTACCCACTCTGCATACACAGTACATACTGAGTTGAATAAGAGGGTCTTTCGCCATCCTTATGTGTTGTTACTAATACAGCTGGAACTTGGCTAATAGTCGCTTCAGAGTTCAAATAAAGATCTAGCCAACAAAGTAACTTTAATTTAGTTAGAATCTTAACAAATTATATCATCTCATAAATGTGAAAAGTTCGTTTAATTCTGTGTTAGTTTAAACTAGAAACGAAAAACATTATTCAGAAATTCTGGCAGAATTCTGATTCTTTAACCCCTTTTCCCCAAAATACGCGATATTGTAAGCATGGTAATTACAACATAATTGATAACTTCTAAAGGAAATTCTATTTAATAATTAATTTCAATTAAAACAATTATATAGCAGGAATTTTTCACACGGTGGAAAATGACTATAAGTACGGCATAAATAATATCATCAATTAGTATGCATATTTGTTTTGAATTGCTTAGTTTGTTGCACCGATAAATAATCCAATGTCTATTTTGAAATTAAATCAAAGATCATATGCTGCTCGTACTTTCTTTCTTTCCACCGACAGCGAGGCAGCCGGTCCACTGGGTAGTTAGCATATCGGCCAGGTAGCCCCGCTGACAGAAATAACTTGATCATCATAACACACTTATATATACATATTGTGCTCAAGACGAGTGCTGAGGGCAGTGCAAACAAATGCTGGACGAGACGCTAGTGTAGTGATGGAAGAAGGGTGAATTGCGGGTGAGAAGAACAATTTCAGTTACATATTTACAGAGTTATGGATAGGTGGTTACAAACGACATCCACAACGTGAACAATAAATGAGTACAGTTCAATATATGAGCAATTAAGAAAGTGACTGATAACCAGTAAAAGTAATATCTAAAATAGGGCTAAAAACTAAATTGCAATACTAAAAATAATAAGAAGTAAAATACTAAAAAACGAAATAATACATAAAATAAAAAAGACAAAACTGTGAAAACAATACATAAAATAAGGCAAAATACATAATTCAAGGTTCAAAAGTCAGGGTTTACAGTTCAAAGAGATAAGTATGTACAGGGAATAAGAAAAGCCGAATAAGCTAACTTAAGATAAAATTAGTACATTACAGGTACAGAGCATACAGGGGCTGTACTGGTGACGAGGATGGCAGCTGAGAATTACTCCAGCCTGTCTGAGATTTTGCGTGCAATATTTATGCAGTCGCGTATGCGTTTCAATGCATTGCGATTTTTCGAAGTAGCTTCGGCCCATGCATAGATGTGGTTTGCTACTGGTTGCCTAAGATGCTGCTCGTAGTGACAACAACTTTTGCAAATGGCAGTCTATCAACCTGTGCATATGATTAACGCAATAATGTAAAGAAAGATACTGATTGAATTGAAAGATCTGTTAGTACAACTCGAAATAAAGTAAGAAATTACGCGAAAAACGTAAGAAATACCTGACAGATAGCTTTAACAAAGTGTTTGGTAGATACATTTGTTTCCAAAATTCGCTTAAAGAACATAATAATGATTCGCTTTCTTGATGAGATTTTTTTAAAAAGTGTTATTCAGAAAAAAAAAGAAAGGGGAAAAAAAGGAAACTTTTGTGCTTTTATGTATCAATTAAGAGAAATTAGAAAAGTTACATTGGAGAAAGCCAGGGGGAATGCTAACATGAAAATTTATGCAAAAGAATTTTCCATTCGGACATTACCATAATTATCATTTTAGAGAATTAAAATCTTCTTATATGGTACTTCATAGTACAAAAAACAAAGAGTTTATTTCGGGCAAACTCTTGAAAAAAACATTTAAACTGTCAGGCCGCTGAGAAAGGTGTAGTAGTCAGAAAACCCCGCTACTATATCATTAGGAATTGATTCGAATCCCCAAAAATGTATGGATGTTTCTAAATAGAATGTCCTGGATTACCAGTAGCTTAATGGTTAAGACGGTTGAATGCATTAATTCGTCACAGGTTTCAGATTCTGGCAAATGCATCCGCTACGTGGGCGTTTCCGTGCTTTTTTTTCGTGCTTCTGTTATGAAGTCCTTCAAGAAATAACCCTTACCTTAAGCAGAGAGCCCTCCTATGCTTTGACGTAATGAATTAAACTAACAGCAATCAAATTTTAGTCAATTTAAACAATTGAGTATTTAGCGGCTATGTGTTGGATAGAATTGTTGAACATATGTAGTTTTAACAGAGTTAAAAATTTGACGTATGATCTGTTGCATAGTTTTTAGATTTGCCCGTGAGTAACATGACTATGAGGCAGTTTTCCTTAGAAAATCCTCGAATAAATCATCTCCCACTTATACGGATTGTCCTAGAGTGTTTTGCTATAATCCATTTCAAAAGATCATCATGCAAGGAATACCGCATCAGGCGAATTATTAAAAAAATTAAAATGTTACTCCGGTAATGTAAATTTTACTTACTTATTAAAATGCTCTTTACATGTTACTCTGGCATGGAAGAAACGGAACTTTTTAGATGGTCTCTTTAAAAAATTAAAAACGATTTCAAAATCTAATTTCAATCTAAAACAGTCTCCATTTCTTGATACAAGAAAACTCAGAGTATAACTCTTTAAAACGTTAAAATTGACGTTTACATGTTACTTTGCGGTATAAAACACTGAGCATTTTAGTCAGAAAAAATGCTTTCTTAAGACAAACAATTAAAGAAAAGATTCATCCAAAATTTTCCGTGTAAAATAAGATAAACGCAGCTTATTAATGAGCTTTAACTGAAACTAAAGCGAAACAGGAAATCATTCTCATCAACGAGTAAGGAGCAATGTCCTTGTTGTATGCAAACATAAGAAAAAATATTTAAAATTAGATTTTCTTTCTATTTTAAACGGAAAGTTACGAGAGCCTGACATGTGTGATAAAAAAGCTAATCACGAGCAACCTTCACGAAAGAAGATATCCTTCATTGGTGGTTTTCTTAATAGATTATTCAGGCGTATGAAGAATTTATAAAAGAAGTATTATATGGAACTTGGACCATGATAAATGGATATTTATGCAGGAAATGAAAATCTTGTATTTATTTCGATGATTTATTTCGGTGAATAGAGGGTTAATCTTCTATCAAATTTGAACTGCAGTTAAAATTTAAAAAGGTCTCTATTTTATTCGATCTTCTCATTTTATTTTTATTAGGGATAAAACACACAATTTTCAAGCTCCACGAATCTTTATAAATATTTGAGTTCCGAAAACTCGAATCTTCTCACTTTTATTCTAGTCTTTTGAAGCCTAACATAAAAAATCGTACAAGTTTAAACTGAGAAGTTTGGGAAACTTAGCTTCACTGACATCTGACAAAAAATTTTCATTAAAAAATTTGATGTAGCTGACACATGACCTCCCGCCAATTTCCTGTTTTAAATATCAAAAAGTTTTAAGTAACGTTTCCCACTCGGTTGATCGTTTGTAAACAAAACCTAATAATTTTTTGTTCCAATAAGTAGAAAGGCCAGTGATGCTAAATTTTAAATTAAATTTTGCTAGGTATAATTTGCCATGTGCAAAAACCAGTTTTTTCTAAATTTATACCAACATAATCAAATGTTTGCTCCTTTAGATTTTTATTAAAACTTCCATTTTATTGGTCAGTTTAAAACATATAATTTAATTTGTTTTTAATTAAAGAAAATTAAGCTTTTTTAATATGTTCGAAATAAATATTTCGAAACAAAAACCATAATTTAATTTTCTTCTATGTTATTTCTATAATATCAACAAATCTAAATTTATTTTGATCTGTGTGTATATCCCCGCGATATTTATTTATCAGTAAACTCGTTCTATTTTATGTTATGATTTATATATGCTGCAATGTGTTACGTTGATTGCTGCAAAACTGTTATAGGTTTCAAATAAAATATCACTTCTGGTTGTTTTTAGAAACTGTTGAGTGCTTCAAGTACAAATTCTGGTTGTTCAAGTTTATCCAAAATTTAATTAATCCTTTATATGAATGCAGAAACCTTATTATATAAGGAAACTTATTAAATAAGGAAAATAGAAATTTTTGAAAATCTGATATGAGCATTATCATGGACCCAAAAAATCGTCACAAATCTATACCCAGAAAGACATCATTGTAAAAGTACTAAAAACGTGTTATGGGCACCCTAATTCATGCTTATTCACTGAAAACTCACTTGCTTATTCACTGAAAACACAAATTTTTTGGACTGAAACCATTACGTCCCATATCTATGTATATAGGTTGGAGAGAGGTAAAAAATCTGAATTGTTGCAATTTCGGTAGTATCTGAATCACCAGTACCACTTCATCTAATGAAGTGTCTAAATGAAACACTTGTTCAACATACATCAAGCAAATATTTACCAGAAGTTTCAAGTAATCGGCGCTCTGCACTTCCTCAAAA